TACACGGTGTATCAAAGTGGTCATCTTTGAAATCAGTTGACATTTTATAATTTGCATAATTCAGCAATAATCGATCCCCAAGGAACCTATAAATGGCAAATTTGCAATCCAAACGAGGACGAAGGCCCCGTTTACACGTATACGGATAGTTTCGTATCTGCAACAAAAAAATTGCGGATAAGCCTTTCGTCCACACGCATCCGAATATTTGAGCTGGTTATCAGTACTAAGTATATATGTTAACCTACCTTATACGTGTTTTATATTCGGTAAGCTTTCCTGATAGCTTGAAATTGGGCTATTCTTTATTAGGACTAGCTTGTTCTTCACTGTCATTTACATTCAAACTGAAAGAAATATCAATGAAAATGTATAATAAATAATACAAACTATTGAATGAAACCAATTTCATCAGTTGATGTTCAAGATGGAATTAAGTAATGCATTGGAATTGTACTAAAATACTATCAATAACATACTTGTGATTTTGATGTTTCGTTTCACGTTGTTTTTCATACTCCTGTCTATTCCTCTCATGATTTTTAGTATTTCTTCTTGTCTCCTTTCGTCTATTATCCTCTCTCCTAGACCCAGGCCTTCTGTCTTCACCACCATCACGCTCACGATATCTTTTTGCGCTGTCTTTTTGATCAGAAATTGATGATCTTGAACGACTTCGACGCCTTTTGCGTCGGTTCGTATGTCGAGATGACATGGCCTAAAAAATATTTACTTTCTACATCATTCGTCGCTTTCCAGCATCCGATATAAGCAAAAACTTTCAAATTTTATCAATTCAAAGTTGTCGAACTTGTAAACTTCGGGAGATTGGTGCAGGAGTTTGGCAGGGGCGGATCTAGAGTATGTCAAATCCGTCGCGCGACTGATGTTTGAAATTCAAAAATTACCTATTCATATTAATTAAAAATCATTAATTATTCTTACTTTATTATCGCATTTACTTCGTGATAAAAATCCAGCATTATTTATTATTGAAAACTAATGACTAATGCAATGAATATCTCCTTGGTAACCAGATCAGTTGAATTTTAATTGACCTGGAATAACCATTGAGTTCTATAATAGAACTCAATCTGGTTATTGAGTTATAGAGCTCAATGGGAATAACCGACTGATAAGCGGGGTGGCTTGACTGGTTCGACTTATAAAGGAGTCTATGAACGCCAGAAACGCTATTTTATTGGTCAATGGCCAGATCAGTGGACAGTCTGGAATAATCTCGACCGATAATAGGGGTGGCCGGACCTATAAGGGAGTCCAATTGCTATCTTACAATTGGTTCATTTGAATTTTTGTCTTACTGTGATTGGTTTGACCGATTTCGACTGATAGCCAACTGAACTAACATAGTCAAGCACAATGTCTGAATTGAATGTTTGATCATTCATAGTAATTTTCAGAAGCATGATAGAAACTAAACTACAATCAGATGGAATTTATGGAAATCTTTTACAAATTCATATGTTGACATGAATGCTGCTTTCCAAACTGGGAATTTTTTCAAGAGGGTGAAAAATTTATGGATGAATTGTAAATGCTTGGCAAAGACGATCTCGCGAGCGACATTTCAGTCATTGATGTTCAAAAGAAAGCCAACATTGTTTTGAGTTTTATCAGCAGAAATTTACATCCAAAATCGTAAGTAAAGGACAAGTGAAGTGTATGCATGAATGCAATATATCAAAGTCAATTTATGCGAGTGTGTGATGCGATTTATGTTAATATGGCGTATGGTAAGCAGATTGATGCTTCTAAAATTGTTGTTGCCGAAGGACTTTTAGCTATGATTTCTTTAATGCTTGGTGAATCGTGGCCGTTATATGGCAGCGAAATCCTACATTTCTGCAAATATATTTCAATGGACAAAAAATCTGTAGCCATAAGGTGCCATACTATTATTTACTTTATCATAAACAAATGTTTGGGGCTTTTCAGTTTATGATCATTGATCATTCAATCATTGGACAGTTATACTACATATTGTTTAAGATTTGAGAAAACTAACATTGATTACATGAGAAGCTGTTTACTATAACCTGTGATTTTGAGTCTTATGATCCATGAAGCTTTTTATTTTGACAATTTGACTGGAATGGTATTAAACCTGAGTATTTCACATACATGAAATGTTGTCCCATGTCACATATCGTCCCCTTTTCTAACTGAACACCTCATGTAGAGATGTAAAGGTGTGTTAATCTACGGCTCATACCAGATTGTTGCCATAAATTCCAAAGGGCTATTGATGTATGAAAAGCATTTTCTATAAAGTAAAAATGTCTTCCTATGTATGCAGATAAACCTTGAAATTTGGCAAAACAGCAAAGTATTTTTCATGATCACTAGGTAATTTTTCTGATGATCATTATAATTTCTAAACTAAATTATTTTAGTTTTACATTTAAACAAGCTTTGATCATATGAAAAGATATTTATCATAACCAGTAAGCATGACACATAAACCATTTTTAACATTCATGTAATTATATAATTAAAGACATGTTGGTTACATTCTGTTTGTATTTGATAATACAATGCTACTAGTGATTGCTATATAGCACACCTTGCAGAAGATAATAGTCTAGTGAAATGCCTAATAAACATTTATGGCATTAAGCCTTAACTGCAAATTTTCACTCTGATAATTTTTGCTTAATCTTTGGCAGAAAAAAATTTTGAGTTTTTCTCAAAGGGTGAATTTGCTGGCACTGATGTGGAGATGGGTAAAGAGTTACAATAAACTTGCATGGTTTGAAGTCTGAGCTTTTCTATATCTATGAACTGTCACTTGTAGTACCAAATTTCTAACTTAACTTATTACATAGAGGTTTGAATGGGGGTCTCTAGGGGGTCTATGCCTGACAACTTGGTAGAAATTTTAAAGAATATATCTGTTTTTGAATAGCATTATTGTAAAATAAATTTACGTTCCTAGACATGCTAATGAGCCATATATTTGGCATGATAATGAGCCTAAATATTTGGCAAAACATTCAAGTATTGTTCACTTTATTTTTTTTGAAAAAAAGTAAGAAAATGTGTTGTTTTACGCAAAACGATGCCCACAAAATACATTTTGTATTGCTCTAAAACGCTGAAAATGGCATTTTCAAGACTCTGAAATTCAAAATTTCTCAGGGAGAATGCCTCAGACCCCCAGGTGCGGAGCGCCTCCGACGTTTTATGACTGATGTTTGAAAAATCCTAGATCCGCCCCTGGAGTTTGGAACTGTAACACATCTGAAGCGATATATAGAAAAACTGGTACGCATTTCTTACATAAGGATAGCTTTTCACGAAGCGAGTTAAAGTAATATATATTTAATCTATAGAATAAATAATATGCAAGACGTTTATAAAAACTTTATAAAAACTTCGAAAATCAATAACAATAATGAAAATTTTGTGTCAATTGGAATTCATGTAGTCCCTTGCTTCGAGCAAAGTCGACGAGGATTGATGAAGAATCTGCTTTCCACATCTATTTCCTTTGTGCAGCCGGCGATTAGACGGGGCAGTTAAATGAACCCAGTAAGATGAGTGTCACATGGCATACGTATAGCACGTTAGAATTTTTAGCCTTCTAATTGTATTTATACCTTACTTGCATTCAAGGCCTGTATCGCGTTTGCTTCTACATTAATCCCTTTAAAAATTTGTGATTGGTAGATAAACTAAAGTCATTACAAAGAAATAACTTACTGAGTACTCAAATTTCAATTTCTATTCTTTCAGGTTAGACGTTCACTACTTATGTCCTCTACAAGCGATATATGGAATTGAACCAGTCTACACTGAGTGAAACTTTGCTTTTGCTGGGCTTACCTTGGTCGCATTTGTCCTGTGTATGTGCTTGTTTTCAGGCACAAAGAGCGTTTTCTAAGATTCCATTGCAAAATTCGAAGCACAACGCTGTTTTGAAAGAGAAACTGGAATAATCAATAGTGATGCAGATTCGGCCTACACTTTACATACAAATTGTCCATTTCTTTCCTGACTTTTTACTTTTTGCTTGCTTCTTTAGTCTTCCATCTTCTGTCTATGATCAAGGCCTCGTTTCATAACAAATAACAATCACGTTCAAGATTTCTTTTTCCTGTGCTGTCTCTCTTTTTAATCAGCAATACCAGAGTAAAGGAAACAATGTCTGTGGATTGAACTGAATATTACTGGAAGGCTACTTCTCGTGAAAATTTGAAGCCGTCATTTAATTAATCCCAGTCTTTCCACGCACGTTCCATGCGTGACTTTACCGTCTGGCTTCATGCAAATACAGGTATGCAGTCTGTATGCTTATCAAAGGTAGTTTTTCGGTTATATATTTCGTTCAACGATCGTACGCGATACTACAGTCGCTATTCTAAACGGCGTTTTAAGATTTTTAAATTTAATAGCAATGCGTACAACATGATGCCGCTGCTTGATGATGAGAGAATATTTGCATGCTACAGCCGAAACGCGACTGGGAAATTTCCGCATAACAGAGGTAGTTTCCCAAATAAGAACACAAGAATTTGAGCAGAAATATAACCCCTCCATGGAAAAGCAACTTGGGAAACCCCTCACAACGAAGGGTATTTCCCCAAAATAATACCTTTTTTAGAAAATATGTGACTTGATTACGTTTTCAGTAAATGCAAAAGCTAAATATATAAAATTGATTGTCTGTTTTGCTGAATAAGGTTACGTCATCGGAGCTTATAAAAGCCACAAACGGGACTTCTCGACAATCATAACACAATCAAAACATCGGACACAACAAGACTTACATAACAAATTTTGTTTCAATATTATTCCTTTTACTATAATGGCAGCCAGACAGCTATCAACAAACCAACTGCTTAAACTTGGGGATGAAAACGCAAGTATGGCCGCGACTGCTTACAGTGACGAAATTAAAAGTGCCGCGGAATTAGGTCGTCTTTTGGGGAGTATTGGGGACAAGTTGTTCTCGACTCCCGAAGTCGAACGCCACCAAAATGAAAGAAAGGTCGAATCAAACAGGCTGGTTGTCACAATTTATAGAAGCTATTGACGTGACTCTTGAATGGCTTGAGCACAAAGGTCAAAATATGAAAATGGATGCAAAGAAGCGAGAGCAAATATTGAGAGGACTGTATAATTTAACAGGTGGGTAGAATTTACACTTGTTCTTTACGTTGTAAGGAATGTAAACAAACAAAACAACGTTCACATCACGTCCTTACATTATCGTACTACGTGTATATTTGTATTTATACACGTATATATATCATTTGTGCATCGTATTATGTTTCATTTTGTCAGAAGAAGTATTTCACGTTAAAAAATTACCACTTGTTACGTCTCTTGTTTTGACAAAAATATTCGATTTCGAGATGGCGATTTTCTTCGGCATCTGCTTCTTCCTTTGCTTTTTTAAATTGGTCGGCTGGACTTGGCTTCTGAAAGCATGGTTGCCAAGTTCGTATTATAAATCCTTAAGTTCGTAGTAGGGTTCATAAGTTCGTTGTAGGGTTCATATTATGATTCTCAGATGATGGCTTTGGAACAAGTTCGTATGTTGCCAACTTAACTTCCAAATATGGAATGAACCTGAATTACCCTTTGGCTAAAATTAAATAAGACAAAATGTACAAAGGAGAAACCGAGAAAGTTTTAAAACGCAACGATTTTATGTCACAATGAACGTTAAAATTGCTTTGTTAGGGAAAACCTATATTGTATTTTGAAGTATTCCAACTGTGTAGGCAATTAACTTTTTGAACATCACATTCTGACTGGCTGAATGCAACCAGTGTGTATCCACAGATCTTTAATGTTTGGTGCAGTTTAACTAAGTAGATTTAAGAATTTTTAAACCCATGTTGTTGAACCATTTTCCATCTATTTCTCATCAGTACCTTTGCCATTAATTATTCAGAGATCGGGAACAACGCTCAAATCTTCGTGATAATGGAAATAGCAAGCGCATTTCTGACAAACGATCTAGATCCGTTTCCAGGAAAGCGTCAATACATAGTGCAGTGTTTGGAAGATGTCAAAGACCACCAGGATTCCATTGTGAGATTAGTCGCAGATGCGAGCAGGTTGCTTAAAGAAATGTTGGATAGTGAAAGCGTCGATTTCCTAATGGCCATGCAGTTTGACAACATCGTTAGGGAAGCAAAAACGAAGATTGATTTGTGTAGCCGGCGATTGAACGGGGCAGAAAAAGCTATTTATGAGCTTGCTGGTAAAATGAAAACCATTAAATGGAGTTTGCGTGGTATGCGTGGCGCAGATTGGGCGTTCACTGCTTATTTTCTGTTCAAGCGATATCAGGAATCCAGTCATTCGTCATTGGACCTGTTGCAGTTTGGTGGGTTTACCCTGGTCGCGGGTGGCCTATGGATGTGCTTATTTCCAGGAACAGAGAGCGTTTTCTACGAGTCTATTGCAAAACTCGAATCACAACACTGTTTGTTGAAGGAGAAACTGGAAGATTTGCATAAGCTTGACTAGCGCTAAAGATTTTAGAGATGGACCATTGAAAAACAGGGGGTCATCCCAGTTATGATGTTCCTGTAGCCTACAATTTACAATATTGAGCAATGTCACTTGAGCTACGAAGTGTTAATACTAGAGGGAATGGTCATGTCTCTAAGAGAAATGGAAGATCGGACTGGAAAGAAATGTGTATAATACTTTAGCCAAAATGGTGTATAATTATTTGTCATTGTACTTCACTGTGGTTTTCACCCTCTGTTTTCAAACATTGAACCGTGATAAAGCTACACAGCTGTGTTATTTACGCATTAAAATAAGCAAAACATAGCTTCATGTAAACTTTAAGTTTGCTAAAATTTGCAATGTAATTTTCACTAAGATTTTCGAATTCTAAATAATTGCATGATTTAGTACCTCAAATAACGTTTCATGAAAATATTTCAGTTGAAAGTGTGTATAAAAGTTGATTACTAGTTTGTTATATGCATGATTTGTAAAATATAAAATGTAATTTTATGATCTTGTAATATTTTATTGTAATTTATGGTATAAAAAATCGAAGATCTATTCAACAACGTTTGATTAGCACATCTTTTCTTCCAAAGCCTTAAGTTGTCATTGAAATGAGAAAACCTATTCTTGTCATTGTCATCGTATTATTTCATAGCTGGCGAAAACATTGGCAATAATACGTGCACATATAATTGTAAAACAATACAAAAAGGAGGATTAGTTGAATCACATTTCCATGTTGTCACTATTGGACAAATCTTATATATATTTGCTATTTTTTATTTGAAGTACAAAATGCTGCCATATGTTGCCGAGGATTTTGGTTCAGAAGGGAAGTTCCCTCAATTTTTATTTAGTTGGGATTTCCCTAAATATGATGAGCTGAAATCAGATGGAAATAAATGATTGCACATTTATGAGTATTCAGGTTGATGAAGCATCTGATGTCACCAAACAGCTAAGTGTTATTGCACTGTTTGACAAAGCAAGTCAGGGTTGGAGAGGCAATTAGGATTTGTCTTTCTTTAACAGAACCAAAGCGCCATTTTCACTATGAACATAAGAGTCTTGTAAAGCAGTTGATTTAACCACAAAGGTTAAAATACTTGGGGAAGCGCTTTTTGATACAATAGCTATGGTCGTTCACTTTCTTCATTGTGAAGAAATAAAGTTGATCCTGGTGTAATGCCAGTCATAATAATCAATTTCTCCTGTTAAAATCTTTTTATTAATATAGCTACATTCAGCACATTTACAAGCAATGCCCCAAAAGAAAAGCTTTTCTCACATCTAACAACCTTGAGTTTCCTGGGTGAAACAAGATGGTATTATCGCTCTAGATTAATCAATGTATTGCACAAAACTATGAAAACTTTTAGATATTTTTGAGGTTACTTGAACAACCAGCTGGGTGGGATGATGAGTCATTAAGTAAAATAAGTGGCTTACTGCATTATCTTGATAGCTTTCTCTTTTGTTTTCTAGTGTGTGTTTTTTACAGGATTTTAGAACAGTCCACAATTTTGTATTCCATTCTTCAAAATAGGAAACCCATTTTAACTATGGCATAAGCAAGATTGACAATTTCAAGCAGTTTATTGTGTCACTACAGATCAAGCTTTCACCGAGTTTTACCAAACTGCACTAGAAAAGTAGGCCCACCAGCAACCAGAGCAGATAGTAGAACAATTACAAACAGCTTTATTTTGAGATTATTGATTCCATTAAAGGCATGTTAAGTGAACGATTTCAAGATATTAATCAGTTCGAGTTTTAGACCTTGTAAATCCTAAACTATTTACTACATGGAAGGGCATAGTTCCACAGGAGAAGATCAATCTTCTCAAAGATAAGTATAGTCCTCTTTTGACATCCAAACTTGGGAGAGTCAACTTTCCTTCATTTACAACGACAAGGACTTTCACAAAGAGTGCAGTAATGAGGTTCTTAAATACATCTTCAAATTTAATCTCCAGTCGAGTTTAGGTCAAGTGGTAAATTTGTTAAAATTGAATGGTGTGTTGGCAGTGGCAAGTGCTTCAGTAGAGAGGTCGTTCTTCTTGCTTAAAAGGGTAAAAGCTATTTAAGAAATAGAATGGGTCAAGGTCGGCTTAGCTCTTTGTGTAGAATATCTATTCACAAAGATATCATTGAAAAGAGAGGAATCAGAGGTGTTGCATAACGAGGTGGTTGAAAATTTGTAGAAAAACCCAGGAGGCTGGCCTTTCTTTATAAATGATGAGTATAGTATGTGTTTGATATTTGTTCGTATAATACATGGTACTTCATTGAGAAAATTAAGCATAACTTTAAAGAATAAAGCCATCCCTGTCTACTTGCCCTAATCTAAACAAGTTTAAACTAACAAGTAGAATGCTAAGAAAAATCTCTCTCTATGCACTTTAGAAGTGTCGTATACTATATTATTTTTGTGCTAATACAAATTTCTTCTGTTTATGCAGGGCAGTGATGAGTAAATTATGTTTTAGGGGACAATTGTCTCCTGCGTAACGTTTCTCTGAGCCACCTTTAGTACCTTTTTAACTAGTTGCAGTTTCAACGATTGCCACATTAAGAATGCAGCTAACAAAAATGGGTTTTTATAAATTATTGTACAACAAATAATTCGCCCTCGAAATCGCAGGAAATGCTGTTTCCAAGGCTCTGGATTTCAAAATTTTCCGGGGGAGCATGCCCCCGGACCCCCTAGTTGGGTCGCGCCTCCGGCGCGAGATGGATTGGCGGGAGTGACTATTTTTCCTAGCTACGCCACTGTCTACCAGCTACAAATACTTTTAACATTCCGCCATTTTGTTTTAAAAATTTCGCGGGAAGAATTGAGCCAGCAGAATTTGGAGTAGCGGTGTCTACAAGTAAAATAATTAAGAGAAAATATTTCGTCCTAAAATACTACGATCCTTTTTGTTGGCAATTATCAAATAGGCAAAAAACTTATATCTTTTGAAGTTGATGTGAACATTTCACCTCCAAAAAGACCTAAAAATACAATTTTATTTTAAGCTGTTCCAAAAGATACTCAACCGACAATAATGTTCAGCGAAACCCCTATAACTATAAAATACAACTTGTACAACGTTGCAAAATTCGCAATGACGAAATTATTTCGATCATCGATTTGTGTAGAGACGGTTTGTTTTCAGTAGATTACGGATACCACATATTATGCTATCAAAGCTTTACGCAAAGTAAATACCTAAGAAGAATAAGTGCAGTTATTTGTAAGTTTCAGGGAACAAGTAGTCAATTACATGGGCTCAGTTGGCAGAGTTGTCTCGGCATCGCAATAAAGGTGCAAATTGGTGATAAACACATTTTTCCCTCGAAGAACGCATTGACCCTACCAAAAAAACTCGGACCATGTATTCGCTTAAAACTTGAGAGTGGCTGGAGAGAACTAAATTGCTTTCCCTGGACATCAGATATGCCCTTCCTGCCTTTGTTTCCTGGAAACACTGTTTGTCGAGGTATATTACTTCCGCTGTAGAAGTTTCTGGTATACGACGCACCTCAATCCAATACTCAACGACGCTCAACAGGTATTTCATATAATGATTTGATTTTCTGATGATCTACAGCCTTCAATTTATACAAATGATTACTCTAAAAATGGGAAAAATTGAAATGATAGATAAGCAATAAACTACGTGTATGTTTCTGGTAAGTTATATTTATGAAAGAATACTTTACAAACACGAATCAAATGGGAAGCTCTTTGTTCGATTTCGTAAACAACAAATGTGCAAAGAATGTATTCGTTCGGTTCTTATTTTCAGCTGTAACTTACATAACGCATAAAACACCAGTAATTTACATTGTTACTGTTTGTAGTGCTAGACAAAGGTCTTAACAAGATTGTATTTCCTCTTAGATATCCTTCAGCTATCCTTCAAACTACAAAAACATGTAAGGCTTGCCTTCCGCTGCATTATAGTTACTTGTTATGAGCTATTTCGTAACCTATTAACTGGAACTTTGTCTTCATCGTTGATTTAAAATTCCATCCTTATGAAAGGAATGTTGACCTCTCCGAAATAGGAAGTCGATTTGATTGTGTGATGAAGGCGATAGTTGTGAAAGCGTTTGACAATTCACATGATGAATAGCATAATTGAGGAAAAAAGACATAAGTTTGAATTTTGAAAAACTTAGCAATAAGATGTTGTGTACAGCAGACGGTGTGGTGAGAATGTTCTCATAAGAGAATATTCGAATTGCGTTTATGTTTTGTTTATGATAATTAAAGTATACTTTGGTAGGGATTTGTCATCGACGACTACAGCTTTGGAAGTAGGAATGCTCGACAAATGGACGCAACTCAATACAACAATAAATCTGTACAAGCAGCTTAGAGCGACTTTTCATAGGGACCAAAATCCTATTCTCTGCAATAAATCTATTTGTATAGGTATAAATTCAAAACGTTCTTCAATGCCTTTGACACTCGAATTTCAAAATTAGGTCATAAGAAACATCTTATATAGCTGCGTAATTATTGCTTTACTCTACACTCTTTCTTTAACAAGGATCTACAATATTAACATAGAAAAACGTCTATAATGAGATGTTCTGAAGGGCTTGCAAGGAGTACGTACGTCTTACTGAGCTAGTATAATTTATTAGCAAAATGTCATAACGGCGTATTGTATTTTCAAATTCATGCACTTCTTAGAATAAAATCCTGGATCAGGCCTTGTATTACCTCATTGATTATTGCCTTTCGAACTTTTCCCACTTTTCTCTTTAAATGGACAATTTTTTTGCACATAAGTTTTTTCAAAGAGACGTTTGTTTTTAAAAATCATTACAGAACTCTAGCGAACTGCTTTGTTTTCTGTAATATTTAGCTTAGGCATAAAAGTGTAAGGAAAGCATGAGCGAAACTGAAAAGCATTGTTCGCAGACAACCTGACAGATAAATGTAGTGTTTCTGATCATGTATTCCTTTATGAATATTCATGTTCTATAGGTCTCACAATTCTCAC